GGTTTACCTCCCCTGGGGCAGGAACACCAGAGCCCCAGAAATACCTGTTTTTTTTTGGTTTTTGTTTTTGTTTTTTTTTTTAATCAAGGATGACACATGAGCCTGTTTCCCCTTGCCTACGCCTGGTGCATAGCAGCCATAATTACCACACACTGACCTAAAGCCTCCTTTCTCATTATTTTTTTGTGCCATAAGGTCATCTTTCTCAACAGGTATCTTAGTTTGCTTCCTGTTGTGGTGATAAAACAGCTGGACAATCTAAGAGATAAAGCATTTGTTTGACTCACAGTTTCAGGGGATAGTCCATCGCCATGGGGCTGTTAAGGAGGCAGGAACCTGGAGTGCCTGAAGGTCACGTCCACCCAAAGTCAAGCAGAAAACAGCGAGTTAACGCATGCATCTCCACTGTTACACAAGCCACTACCATCTACTAGAGAATGGTGCCGCCCACAGTGGGGAGGACCTTCTGGTCTCAATTAATGCAATGAAAATAATACACCATGGCCAGGCCCACAGGCCAAACTAATCTAAGCAATTACCCCCGCCAGGTGTGAAGTTGGTAATCAAACCTAACCCTCACCATAGGTTATGTGCTTCTTGAGACAAGAGGTCAAAGTTTACGTTCGTGCTCAGTTCTTTCTATCAGTAAAACAATGAAACTTACATAATTTTATGTGGACAAAAAATGCAATGCTCACCTCAGAGGGAAAAAGAGTTGTATATTCATGTATTAGGCATGTATGTGCGTTCACATGTGTGTTTGTGTGTGTATGAACACACATACATGCTTAAGTGTGCACTGAGTGTGGAAGGCTGAAACTGATGTTGGGCATCTTGAGGAGGGAGCTCAACAATTCAGCTACAGCATCTGGCCAGCAAGCCCTAGGGCTCCTCTTACTGCCTCCTTTCCGGCACTGAGATTACAGCTTTTTTTACGTGGAGAAAGAGGTTCCAACTCCAGTTCTCATGGTTGTGTGGCAAGAACTTTACTTATTAAGCCTTCTCCCTAGATAGATTTGTGTAATTGTTTGTTTGTTTGTTTATTGGTTTTTCCAAGACAGAGTTTCTTTGTGTAGCCTTGACTGTCCTGGACTCACTTTGTACACCAGGCTGCAGACAGTTTATTTTTAAGCCAGTGTGGGTTACGTGGCCCAGAAACACAGACTCCGGTTGTCTCAAATACTATGATCCAGTGTGGAAATGGTTTTATGGAGTTTTTATAGTTATGGCACAAAAGAAAGTTATGAAGCAAAGAGTTTTTCCAAATATGTTGGTGAGAACATCACGTGGGCCACAGCAAGGCTGGAGGAAGGGGGCGGATCTCCCGTGTTGGTCCCAGGTACTGTCTGCTGGCGTTCTTAGCTTTCAGGTGGGTAGAAGTTCGTGGTCTGTTCGTACATTCTGAAGGTGTTTTGTTGTTGCTGCTGTTATTTGGATGTGTTTGTATGTTTGGTTGGTTTGGGGTTTGGTTTTGGTTTTCTTGGTCTGGTAGCTGAAAAGGTATTAAGTGAGAGAGAGTTAGACAGTGACTAGAACAGAAAGTTGATGGTAGAAAGGGTGTGTGTGTAAATTTCCTAGAGTCCCCACTATTTTCTGTAAACCTAAAATTGTTGTTCATGTCAAAGTTAACAATTAAAAAACTTAAATAGTTAAGAGAATACTTTTATCTTATTTGATTATTATCACAGTAAAGTAATACTTACAAAGAAAGACAATAGAGAAATTTTTTGAACCTGTTAAAGTATATTTTAAAATATAGAGCAAACATCATACTTAATAGCAGTATCCTCCTTGAATTAAGAAATAGATCAGGGGCTAGAGAGATGGCTTGATGGTTAAGCTTCCGGAGGTCCTGAGTTCAATTCCCAGCAACAACATGGCGACTCACCATCATCTATAATGGAATCTGATGTCCTCTTCCTGCTTGTAGACAGTGAAATCATATACATAAATAAATAAATAAATAAACCTTTGGGGCTGGAGAGATGGCTCAGGTATTTCAGAGCACTGACTATTCTTCCAGAGGACCTGAGTTCAATTCCTGGCAACCACATGGCTGCTCACAATTGTCTTATAACTCCAGTTCTAGGGACCCAACACTCTCATATAGGCATACATGCAGACAAACCACCAATGCATATAAAATAAAGAAAAAAGAAATAAATCAATAATCCTTGCTGTCTTCCTTTCTATTAAATATTACACTGACAACCTTAGCCAGCAGAAATAATTAAATAAAAGAACAAGAGAAATACAGAAAACTGTAATTTTTTTTTGAGATAGGGTTTCTCAAAAACAAAACAAAACAAAAAATAAAATAAAATAAAATAAAATAAACAGAGCTGTTCTGGACTTGCTTTGTAGACCAGGCTGGCTTCAAACCTACAAGAGATCTGTGCTGGGATCACGGGTTTATGCCACTGCCCCCAACTCAGGATCAGTTTAAAACCTTAATTCCTTTCTGTGATCCAGGAGTAAAAAGAAAACAAAGTATGGACAGACGTCATTGACCATAAAGTGAAAAACCAACAGATTTAGGAATAAGTCTAACAGAATCTGTATAGGGGTTCTACACTGCAAACTGTAAATGCTGTTGATATTAGAGAAAGCCTGAGTGGAGAAATACAGAAATCATGGATTTGAACATGTGAGGTTGTGAAAATTATCAGCCCTCCCCACAGAGTAATCCAGAGACTAACTGACTCCAAGTTAGTTAGTAGCAAGCTCTCTGCTCTCTCTTTCTCCTCTCCCTCTCCCTCTTTTTTCAGTCTCTCTCTTCCTCTTTTTCTTCTCTTTCTCTCTTCCTTTCTTGTTTCCTTCTTTCATCCCTTAGCCCATTTCTCTTTTCACATATTGACAAGCAGTTATCAAATTTTCGGGAAGCACAAACAGGCAAGAATTGACAGACAATCTTGGAATATGAAGTCACAGCTGGGGAGACAGCTGCCTGGCTACTGGGCCTACAGTCAGAACTATGGGACAACATGGATCGGGGTAAGGATTGGCCAGATGACCACCGATCAGAACGCAGAGTCTGACAGCAACTACACACATCAGACATCAGACTTAGGACAAAGGTGACACTAATGTGCATGGGAGGATGAGCCATCAGCTCTTGTCCTCTATCTCACACCAGGAACAAAAGTCCTTCCTGAAGAACTGTAGAGTCCAGTGTGAAATATAAAGGTAAGAAAGCCGGCAGAGGAGGCACAAGAGATTCTGTGACTGAGGGTGGGGGTGTGGTGGGGGCAGGCAGCCATTTCTGAGACCCATGACACCTGCATTTGTCTCATTATCATCTCTTTCCCCATCCTGATGATGATGGGGTTCGGGCGCTTCTTAAAACGCTGAGTCAGTTTCTGTTGCCATCAACTTTGTACCCCTCCGGGGCATCTTGGCTTGGAAAGGGTTATTTCAGAGCACAGTGTGCTGAGCTGGTAATTACGTGTATATGCTAAGTCCTTTTCACAGAGTGGAATACAGAATATAATACAGGATATAAAAGGACCCTTACCATCTCACGGGTCCCACTACAAGGCCACATATGCTATAATGATACAGCTCATGTTCAAACACAGTCAGTTTAGAAATGACAGCCGTGCTGCTAACTACTCATGCCTTGACTAAGACAGTAGCTATTCAGCTACTTGAAAACTTTGAGGGAGCCAGATGTGGTGACGCACGCCTGTAATCCCAGCACTCAGAGGGGCAGAGGCAGGAGGATCTCTGTGAGTTTGAGGCCAACCTGGTCTACAAAGGGAGTCCAGGACAGTCAAGGCTACACAGAGAAACCCTGTCTTGGAAAGCAAACAAAACAAAACAAAGAAAAACAAAACAAAACAAAAACACCACAAACTTTGGGGGAGGGGCAGTTGGACACACTCCATGCCTCTAAAATTAAGTTTCCACCTTCCCGCGTATTCCTCACTCAGAAGCCAAGGTGATCTTTTTGTTTCACTTAATTAACTTAATTTCTTCTTCTTCTTCTTCTTCTTCTTCTTCTTCTTCTTCTTCTTCTTCTTCTTCTTCTTCTTCTTCTT